GGGGGGCAGCAGTGACACAACAAAGTATTTGATCTGTGTTTGGTTAAACCAGGCAATATTGTTTCACTTCAAACATGTAATTCTTCTCGACTTCTTTTTCTCTAGGTTATACTTGGCTTGATTCTTCAGCAAAAAGATAAATGTGTTTATAATACACTGGTTTAGCAAAAAGCAACAAAAAAGGTGACATTTCTAGCTATTTAAACAGCTTTTTATTTAAGCTTGAAAACAACTACTCTGTCTAATAGTCTCACTAAGCCTTCAGTAACCCTGCCTTGGTACCGAAATCAGCCTGAATTAGAGATTATTTACCAATAGCAAATAATTTGTGTATCAATTTTAACCATTTTGGCTTGCACACAGTAACTTCGTTATTGCCAACACAAAGCAAATATTCTCTGCATACACACTTTCAATCCATAAGTTAACAATAATGTTAACATAAATGTAACGACATTTAAACAGCTATTTCAATTATCAGTCATTTCGGGTGTCACTGCCCATATTAGGTGTGTGCTCCTCATGGAAAAGAGAAGAACTTGAAAGAAAAAGACCAGGCATATCCAGGTCTAAGTGTGTATGAATACACTACAAACAGATTAAAAAGCTTATCTTTTCCAGAGTGTTCTTATATGCCAAAGCCACTTGCATAAACACACTAAGATGGGTACAAATTGCAAGCATATTTAATTCAATATACTATTAAAAAATGATCCCTTTATTACCTGACCAATTCTACCCTGAAGAGAGTTGTGAGCAACTGTATTTTATATTTTGTCACAATAATGTAACCAACCTTTTATCACGTCCACCAAATACAACTTAATCAGTTGCTCATATGCTGCTACGTAACTTGAAACAATAAATTTAAGAGAAGTACAGTCCCAAAGGACAATCTCTAGATTCCATAGCAGTAACTTCAGGGGAGCAAGGCCTGGCTTCAAGGTCTCACTTTGTAAAGAGACAGCCAAGTGAAAACCTGCTGCCTTCACTCATGGCTGCAGAAGTGAAATCAGACACTCTCTCCAGAGGGCCTGGTAAACATGGACCAGTTTCCAAATACTTTCTTTTGAGAACACCTCCATACATTTTTTACTTGGACACATTCACTGTGTGATCAGTGGACCTTTGATAGTTCGAAATACTTAAAGTTAAAATGGAGTTATACTTTTAGCTAGCTGTATCATGCAAAATATTATACAGACCTGAACTGTTACGGCAAGCTAATTATACAACCATGTCAGCAAATCAAGCTTTGCCATATGTAGTGTGTAAGTCCAATTTATGCAGCAATTTCCAAATCATATTTCTGGTAACTTATGAAGGGGGATAAAAATTACTTCTTATGGACACAGCAAAAATCTCAGAGTAGGACTGTGGAATATGCACTGTATAAATACATGGTAATCAGCAATTTTCTGAAAGAGCTTATATTCTAAATAAATAAAGCAGATTAAAAGCATATGGGAAAAAAACACAGCACAAGGAGATAAACTTATTCATGGCTGCACAGCACGCAAGGTTCCTGTTTCTTCCTTTGTGCCGCTCCTGTTTCTTCCTTTGTGCCCTACTCTTTGGGTCCATCCTGACCTTAAATATTATTCACTACATCAAGTAAAATAAAACATAGATTTTAACTGAAATACCTACTGGCCTTTGCTGGACTGAAGGGGAAGTTTAAAACAATGTATCTCTATCTTCCCTTCATCTTCCTGACCAAGACATATAAAACAGTTGATCAGTTACGCATTCCAGGGAGGTGGTGTCAATGACTTATTCTGTCCAAAATGATGATCTTCACACATGATCTGATCATTCTTGACTGCATGCTGTTCTTTCAGCAAAACAGATCCTGTGTATCAAACCTGGCAGTGTTGTGTGCTACTCCATAGATAGGAATCTACAAAAGTCACTTTTATGAAAATTGAAGTAGTATTCTCTTTAGTAATCTTTTTATCAAACAGACTGCAGTTCAATAGTGAAAGTACAGGTCATTTAAACGTGACCTAACTTAATAATCACAATATCTGAAATACAACGTCAAAACTTCTGTACATGAAAACACTAGTAAATGTTTTACAGGGAAAGCAAACACTGAAAAAAGAATATTGATTACAGCAATGAAAATATTCAACACATTCAGGAGTAAAATACAAGTTCCTTCCATGAAAGGCAGAACTAACAGAGTCCTGTGTTCTGTGTATTTAACTCTTATCCTCACTCCCACCCAGCTATAACGTTGTTTCCATCAGCAACCTCAAAGGAAAGATAACAGATACTGTGGATAGCGTGACACTGTACTTGTTCTCATTGGCTGGCTATCACACACACAAAAATCTTTAAATACTATGTTCTGCCCGCCTTTTCTCCAGCATGGGCATTAATTTGGGTTTCTCTTCTCCAACCAATTACCAGTTTTTATGAAACTAGACGGAAGTTTAGTATCTTCAGAACACACACCCTGCTCTGAAAGGATTTACAGTTGTCAGGGATACACAGATGATCAAGTAAACAGTACACCTGACTAAGTTTTATTTCTGTAGCAGAAAGAGTTAAAAATAATATAGCTTGCTGCATTAGGTGCGTCATTGCCTGATATGACTTCTCAGCTATGTATGTTTCCAATACAGGAATTCTAATGGCTATTTTTTACAGTTGTCGTTATACAGACAAGTCGTAAAGGATGCATCTAGTGTCCCACATAAATTAGGAACTTGAGGATATCCTCCAGCAGTGTCTTCTAATTTACCTGTTTAGCAAACAGCACCTTGCCAGCTGAAAAGACAGGTACTCAGGAGAAACTTTTAGGACAAAAGACCATTCCCTTATCTGCAGAGATCATTGAAGGAAAATCTCTAAGAATCAGGCTTAAGCATGCACAAAGTGCAATTAGTTCATGAATTGCCACAGGCCATACGGATTTAGCTTACATACTCCATATGTGGTGCACACCCCAATGATGTTTTCTTATAAGGATTTAATGATTGTTCACTTCTTACATTAAAGTAAAATATGAACTCTTCAAAAATTATGAGTATCCAGCAGTTATACATTTTGTTCCCCTTCCAGGAAATGGATATGATGCAAATACACAGGACAGCAACGTGTATGAACCAACTGCCTCAGAAACAAGTTCTTTAGAAGTTCTTTAACCTTATTGAAATACAACCATTTAATATTTTATAAGGACAAGCACATTTTCTAAGAAATTCTCGAGTGACAATTTGGCAAAATATTTGTAATCCACAGCCTTCTCAGATGCCCTCACAACTTCAGCTTCTCCTTCTCTTCTACAAGAAAGTCCAGATGCCAAAATTAAACCCAGATTCTAGCAAACCAACAAGGCTAGTGAACCAACTATATATGGGAGAATTCTTCATTAGGTGTGGCCTATATCGATGTATATTATAGTAAAGTAAGGAGCCAACTGGTCAGTTACCTCCATTGACTCGGGGTGACAGAAGACAAGCACAGCTATGAAGGTCCAAATAATTCATATCACAATCAATACCTTAAACTACAACTAAGAAGAACAGATTTTTCTCACCCATGGATAGGCAGTTTTAGAATAGTGTAATATAACAAAACCCAGCTATTTTTAAAGGACAAAGCTCTAACTTCTGGCAGCTATTTTACAGGATAGGATGCTTGGCTAAGCAAAAGATGTCAGACACTCTTTATCTGCATTCCTGTTGGTCCTTTTTTAGTCTTTTCACCCATTTCCTCTCTGTCAGTTACCACTTCTGCATTACTGCTATTCTTTCTCTTGAAGGGTTATAAAAGTGTTGCTATATTGAATAGAAGGAATCAAAGTTTTGCATATTCTAAAACACTAAGATGAGCTTATTACTTACTCAAATTCTGTGGCATAATATTTGAAGAAGCCTATTAGCAAATCTCCAAGGCTTGATCCATTTTTTGAGAGGTAAGGAGGAATGGTACATGGAGCTTGATGAACAAGATGCAACTGCATAGTAGGATCAAAAGATTCCTGTCAAAATAAAATCAGAGAGTATGTATATACACACACACACAGCGCCTTAATCTAGGTGCATATATTTTTCACAAAAAAGTTGCCTATGATTTGCTTATTAGAAGTTCAAGGACACCTTACAAGCAAAGGACTCTATTTCTCTCGTGGTCCTCTGTTGGATACTAGTTACTCCCCCTGAACTCAGGTAGAATCATCTTGCACAGGAGTGTCCAAGACCATCCCTTGCCTTCTGTTTGCTAAAGAATTTTAACATGGGAGAATCTCTGAACTGGACTTGCATTTACATGCTAGTAAGACCACATGAGCAGAAGCTGATTAAGATAGCCTGCACTTGAGCTGGCTGCAGTTGAACTGAGATAGGGTAGGTGAAGCTAATGAACTTATCGCCAAGTTCCCATAACTGTGGTACGGAAACAATCCTAAAGGAAAGCCTGATTTATTTTTCTCACAGCACAGAGTTGAAATTGCATATCAAACCCACTGGCTCTAATATGAACCTGCATCCTCCCACATAATGAGTTCAAAGACTGCAGCAGCACCTCCTCTAGCCAACCTATCTGAAAGAATAAAAAAAAAAGTTATACAAAAAACCTGAATACACAGAATGCAGCGTTTAAGCTGAAGTATGCTTTTCTTCGGGGGCAAGGGGATGGGGGAAGTCAGGTTTGCTATAAGCAAAAGTCACTATTGCCAGCTTAAAAAGGAATCTACACAAGACTAAATTAACATGGTTTTAGACCTGCTATACTGTTTGGGTGTCCATTGCATCTTTTACGTTATTCTGAGAGACTGGGGTACATGGAGAAAAACATATCTTCTCTTGCTAGAGATACAATTTTTAAAACCTGGTAATACCAGGATACTACATTTTACAGCAATGTTGTGTATTTTAAGGAAAATGAACCCAAGATAGAAAAGAGCAAGCTTTACATTCACATAAAGAAATAAATCTGTGTAAATTCAGGAACCTATTCAGTCATTAGTGTATCTCCACTCCCACTACTTTGTTATTTTAAAAAGTAGTGTCAGGCATAACTCAAACTTTCTAGTACTAAATATCACTGGAAGCACTATACACTGTAATACTATTTCCAGGTTCACAGCTGGCAGTGCTCCCTCTGAGAAAAGTATGGTTAGCATACTTAGCTAGCAATCAAACCAGTAGGACTGGAAAGTTTGGGACTCCCGTCCTCTTTTGCCAGTTCTGGCAAAACTTCCTGGAACCTTGCACAACACCTTCTGGGAAAAAAGGCCATTCTTCCAGCTATGAAAAATTTCAAGTCTTCTTCTCACGTGATACAACTTTGCATATAAAGTATTATTATAGTTAGCAGAGCTCAGAATTTAACAGCTCACAATCCAACAGAACACACCAAAAACACGGAGACAGGCAGACATAAAAAGCAGATATGCAGCATATAAAGATCTAAAAGGGGAACAGTCTTTCCTATGTTATACAGTATATACAGTTTTAACCCCAAAGGTAATCAGACATGTATAGAGTGAAAGTCACTCCTTGCCCATCCCCACTCTTCCCATAGAAGAGTCACAACAAATGAATTTAGTACTAGCAGTATAACAGCTCACGAAGAAATCGACACAGGGGGAAAAAAAAGAATGAGAACAAGGGCTGCTGATCTCCAAACAATACAAAACAGAAACACAATGATATTACTATAACAGATGTCTGCTAAGACTAATAAGTAAATGTTTGGAGGCAGCAGACATTTTTGAAAGGGAAAACAAGATTTTTTTTTTTTTTTTTTTTAATGCTTTGAATGTTCAAATGCCTGAGAACTTCTCAACTGCAAGAAAAATCTGCCACCACAGTGAGGTTGGCATACTGAGCAGCTAAAAAGTTAGACTTTGGGATATTATTTTTCAGAATAATAAATAAGCTATTTTCTTTAGCACTATAACTATTATATACTTAGAGAGCACTATTACTACTATATACTTAGAGAGGATGTTGCTTTTTCTTATCAATCTTGGCCTTAAGTACATTTTATTTATGTTTCATATATTGATCACAATTAATTAATTTTTATAAGTGTTTGTACATCATTTGAATAAGAAAAAATAAATCAACAGTTATACTAATAGCAAAAGACAATAAATCAAATATAGTTGTAATAAAACTTACAGCAAAAAAAGGAGAATACATATGTGCCTGTGTGTGTATGCTTACATCCAGAAAAAATGAAAGGGCAAAAGGATATCAAATACAACTTTATCCAAAGATATTTTTTCAACGAGATTTGTTAGCAGTTAATGAAATAGGAAGTTACAAAACCTTGCAGAGTTTTAAAATCACAAATCTGTATTTTGAAAAGGGTGATTATGATAGAAGCATAGTCCAGATGAAGGCATTTTTCAGGATATTTAGTTTGTCTGTTTCTCCACTGAGTTTGCAACTGATCAAGAGTCATGCAAGCAGCAGTGGTAAAACTGAAAGACTCCTCATTTGAGGAGCAGGAAATGCACCACATTCCAAAGATTCCCACCCATGGCAGAAGAGATAAAATTCCTAACCTGCATTAGAAGGCAATTTTCTAAATCTTCATCTAGTAATTAGGATTAAAAAACTCTTCAATTCTGCAATCTAAAATTATGATGTTTAGGGTTTTTTTTTTCCAAAAGCAAGTTCAATTTCATGAAACCTACAGTTCCAAGTTTTACCATGTATATTAAATACACTTGCCTCACAAAAGTCAGGCAAATCAGTTTGCCTTACTCAGAAAGGCAAATATTCAAAAAATAAACACATATTATTCTATACAAGTGCTCTAGTCAAAACGCAAGTTACAGTCTATAGCAGCTAATAATTTAAAAACCCAACCACCTAGTTTAAGAGACACACATATAAATAATTCCCATCTCCACTTGTTTTGGTGCTTATACCACTATAAAAATGACTCTTAAAAAGACAACCAAGTATTACAAAATGGAAAGCATGATTGAAGAGACTTTTCTGGAAGAAAAGAAGATTTTTTTATACTAAGTAAAGCAAACTGTTTATCACATGTTTCTGATATTGTTAGTCAACTTATTTTTTTAAATACTGCAAGTTGCTGATCACCACGTGTAGAAGGAAAAAAAAAAGGAAGTGTTTCATCTTTCTGAAATACAGAAAATTTGTTATGGAAGAAATTGCTATTACCAGATTAGAATGCTTTACATGTAAAACCAAATTAATTATTACTTAAAATTGAGTATGGGGAAGATTTAATGAAAACTTCTGTCAAGATATACCAATATTCAATATATCAATAACCAACAATGTAGTTTGTTTAAAGTCATTTCTTAACAAAGCAATCACTCAGTGTCCAGTGAACAAGAGGTCAAACCAGCCACAGGATACCTAGGCTCATTCTTCTGCTTTACCACAGACAACCCATGAAAATCCATTACACTCAACCCACCCTCGTTCACCTATTGTAAAACAGGGATAACAGTACTTTTCTTCCTGCCAGAGGGACTCAGGGCATAACTAGATAAGCAGAACAAGGTACAGCTTATAGATTCTGCACATAAGGGAGGTTGGTAATAGAATTACAAAGCATCCTTCAAACTAGCTTAATTTTGAGTAGACCTTCCCTGTAAGCTTTCCCTTCTTAACTTGCTCTAGAAGGCAAAAAATTCAGCTTCTTTTAAAACTAATCCCTAATTTGCTTGCTGTGTCTTTGCCTCATGCCATCTTAAGAAATGGAAAAGAAATTAATGATCTGATTGAGCAACAAATACAAATGAGCTATCCATGATTTCAAAATACCCCAGAAAAAGGGACCCCAAAATCTTTTTTCCTTTTCTGCTAGATCTCTAATCTTTACTTTGGTGGGCTGATTTCTCAAGGAAACACTAGCATTCAGCAACATGTTGCTAAGCTACATAATGCTTACACATATGCTCATTCCATCTTACACACTGGCAAGTAACACAAGTGTACATAAAAAAAATTTACATTTGAATATCTTGATGTATAATGAGTTTAACTCTGACTGTACAAGATTCTTCCTTCAAAAAAGTTTACAGTGGCAACATCATTGTAGTATCTTGCCATTTTTGATAGGTATCTATATTTGCAGACATAAAATAACCTTCCCCAGTATTACAAATGGACATTTAACTCATATTTGTACTTTAAAAAAGTGCAACTCAGAGTGAAGCAAACTGTGTCTGTCCAAGGACTGACTCCCTTGCATGAAGGACTGTTGTGGTTTAACCCAGCAGGCAGCTAAACACCACACAGCCGTTCACTCGCTCCCGCCCTCACCGCAGTGGGATGAGTGAGAGAATTGGCAGGGGGGGGAGTAAAATTTGTGGGTTGAGATAAAGACAGTTTAATAGGACAGAAAAGGAAGGGAAAATAATAATAACAATAACAATAACAACGATAAAAGACTATACAAAATAAGTGATGCACAATGCAATTGCTCACCACCTGCCAAACAATGCCCAGCCAGTTCTCGAGCAGCGGTCACCGCCCCCCAGCCAACTCCCCCCAGTTTATATACTGAGCATGATGTCATATGGTATGGAATATGCCTTTGCCCAGTTTGGGTCAGCTGTCCTGGCTGTGCCCCCTCCCAGCTTCTTGTGCACCTCCAGCCTTCTCAGTCGGTAGAGCATGGGAAGCTGAAAAGTCCTTGACTAGTGTAAGCACTGCTTAGCAACAACTGAAACATCGGTGTGTTATCAACTTTGTACTCACACTAAATCCAAACCACAGCACTGTACCAGCTACTAGGAAGAAAATTAACTCTATCCTTGCCAAAACCACGACAAGGAGCTACAGTAAGCACCATCCCATCTTCTGCCCCACCCTTTGCAAGATATGACTGCTCATGAAGCTGAGGCAGCAGAAACAAAAATGTGCCCATGCTGGAGTCCACAAAGTTCACAGTCCAGAGCACTAGTGGAGACCCACCTCCATCTGGATTTAAGCTAGTACACCAGGCTGCTCTGGAACATTGGAGACTCAGGCACACATTCCCTTCTGACTCGCAGTTGCAGCAATGTTCACCTCTGGCAAACACACAGGCAAAACAACCAGAAGCCACAGTGGCCTAAGACACCACAGGTTCTCCAGAGCTCATTTGTAAAAGTCCTAACTTGGAGGCAAGTTCTATATAGACTTCAGAATCAATCACACATTTTGTGGGCTACTCTCATCTACCCCATCTGGCTGGGGGGGGGCAGGAATCCAACCCCACATCTGATATGGTCCAATACTCCCTTTAAACTAAAACACGTCATCTCAGTGCCAGCTGGAGGCTCCCCCATGGCAACCGAATGCATAGGTGGGCAGATCTGGTGGCTTTCCAGGACTTCTCACCCTTCACATCTGCAGTAGGGATACACTGAGTCACAGAATCTGCCTTTTGTTTCTCGCTCAAGGTAAGCATGTCTCTTTTACACAGCACCTACAATTTAAAACAAGCAGTTTCCTTCAAAGTGCAGAAGTATTTTCAGGCTGCAGAAAAAGCTGCAGATTTGATTTTGAAAAAAACAGATTGTATGTAGGGTGGTTTGTTTCTGAAGGAGAGAAGCGGTATTTCTGTGTAGTACTAGGATGGAGACACAGCTTTGACCAGCTACAACCACAAAACACATGGTTTCTTTGGATACTGACATTTGCTCATGTTTTGTAATTATTACTGCAAGCTACAAGACCAGAGTTGTTGTGGTGTATTTCTCATTTTCATTTTAAATTTCTTCGCAATATCAGTATTCAGAAATTGTAACTTTCACAATTTTTAAACACTTAATTATTTTCCTAATGGAGACAGTAGACCAAAAATATATTTGCAAATTTCTAGCATAATTTTTTAAAAATCTTAATCCATAATTTTGATTTGGTTTTATAGTAAGCATGTATAAAATATTCTTTTTATTTTATTAACAATACTAGAATATTTAGTCCATCCTCCAAAGGCAAGATAACAAACAACAACAAAAAAATCTACGTTGACACAGGGTAAAAAATGTTATTCTTAAGCAGTGTTCTAGAAACACAGGAACCTGCAAGTGATTTACCACTTCCACATGACACAAGATAAAACCTTACATTTAGTACAAATTCATTAGATTTTTCAGCTTATGGTATTGTATACTTTTGCTTTAATCATTTAAGCCATTAATATTTGTATAGTGCTCTGAGGGCCTTTATACAGTTCAAACACTACAAATATAAATGTATGCATTATTATTACAAGAGTGAAAAGTTACCAATTCTTAGCTGTTTTCTTTAAATTAGATGCTACGCAAAACTTAAAATACTACAGCATATGAGCTTTAAGCAAACATAAGTAACAAATTTAGCAATTCAAAAAACCCATCAGATAAAGCTAAGTGTACAAGAAATTTAAAAACGGCTTCACATGCTTTTGAGCACTAACAATGAAGAAATTAGAAGGTATATAGCACAGTAAAAAATCAGAGGGAAAAATAAAGACCATAAAAATTTAGCACAGGTATGCCTGAATAGGTTTACAAAATAGAAATAAAACTGCAGTGTACTATAGCTCAAAGCTTTCTTCTGCATCTTGATTATCCTAATTACCCCAAATGGCTGACACCACAGTATTCTCTCCCTGATGTACAGTGTCATCAAATATTCCCATTTCAGCATTATAGGAAATATATGCAAAAGAAAGACAGGCTTTCTGATACTACCTCAGCACAATTATCAGCAACACTAAAAACCATACATAGACAGGGACATCAAACTATGGAAACTATGAATAAAGAAAAATTTAAAAAGTGACACATGAGAGGAAAGGTAAGGAGGAAGGAATTGAGGAATTTCTGTAAATAAGTTATAGCATAGAACTATTCCGCAATAGCTCTTTTATTCCCAGACAAATATTTAAGAGGGTAGCTCTTATTTCTAGATAATCTTCCTTAGATTAAGTCTCACTAATTACAGTCCTAATTCTGCAGAGGATCAAAGGATCACAGAGTTCTCTGGAAATCAACAGAGTATGATCTGAACATAACAGCAAAGTCCCAAAAAGGTGTTTTCTTGTTGGACTGAAGCCCAATTTTGTAAGGTCTCAAAAGTCTCCTTAGTAAACACATATCATTCACCCTCTGCACCCAGAAATATCAGGCATCTTAACAGCTGTGGGAAGTATGGAATTCTGAAACACCACAGTTGGATGGAAAAACTACTCAACATATTAAGAAATAAGAATCAGAAAGTTACAGATGACACAGGGATATTTTCAGGCCAGCATAAAGAGAATTAGGTCAGCAGCTCTCATTAGCACTCGTTTCCAACTGTGTGTGAAATCTTCTCATATATAATAGACTGTTTTCACTAAAGAAATTATCAAAAGCAGCAAATAACCTTTTTCAGGCTTATGTTTAGTGTATCAGTGACCAGGCTTACAGACTGTGTTTAACTTAATCTATTAGAGATACTTAAGATTTCATATATTTTAGATAAGCAGCTTCATACACATATATGATGTAGTAAATTCATAAGAAACACTTACTGGGTAATTTTTTTGAAGGGATGGAAGGATGGGTTCAGGTAGGGCTATAAAAAAAAAGTTTAAAGTTGCTGTGATTCATGTAATTCACAGGAAACAATATCATATCAACTACAAAGGGCTGGACTGAAATTCCATCTCAAAAACATCTATCAAGAACGTCACTTTCATGCATTTTGTAAAATAAAGGTTATTCACCAAATCTTTCTATTACTATATTTTGTACATAGTAGTATAAGGAGTTAATTCAGCTAAGTGAAACTGTTACTAAGATACTACTATTTGAGGAAGACATGAAAAATTCTGCAGCAGCTGGGTATGACTTCACTTTTAAAATTCATATTAATTCACGGCTATAAGAAACTCATATAGATTTGCTAAAGGAAAAATCAGAGCTTCACTCTTTTTTTTCCTGTATCTAATACAATATAATTCTGTCACAGCATAGGAAGTCTCCAGATACTGCAAAAGTACACATTCTTCAGCTGCAAAATATTACATACTGAGTCGCCGAAAGTAACGTAAAGATAAAATGCCCAACACATTTAGTAGGCATTGCTAGCAAAATCCCCATAAAATACCTAAATACAGTCTAATGCTGTTAGCTGGTTTACTAAATGGCAAACAGGTTATAAAGATTATGCAGACATTAACGATACTAACAAACACAAAATTAACTAAACAATTACAACTTTTATGAAAGTCATGGATAGGGAGAGCATCTATTGCACAATACAAATGACAGGGAAAAAACCTTATCTCCCAGGTTAGGTGGTCCTACAGGTAGACAGAAAAAAAAAATCCCAAAGTATTCACATCCCACTCAAGCCTTAGAGCAGCTACAGAACTGTCAGAGCATTCCTCATACTAAAACTTTAACATCATGCCTTCAGCATATTTTTTTTTAAATAATTGGTCTACATCATTCACTGGGGAGAATGATAATTAAGTTCAACACACAGGACTTTGACTTGGGACTTAATTCACCCTTCAGACAAGGTCTCACAGGGGATGAGATGTTGCAGAATCCTTCTTCCATAGAGACTAAGAATCAGAACAGAATTCTCAGAACATGCTTGGGATATCTTCAAAGAGTATACTATATTAACCAGCAGGACTGCTAAGAATATGATCACAGCTGCTTTAACAATATTTTTATTTTGTTTGTGGGTGTTTAGAAATATGCAAAAGCATCTTATTTCTGCAACATCTTGGATAATTTCCAGTTCTCTGCCACACTAAAATAAAAGGCAACAAAATCTGAACAATACAAGCAATTGATATTTTATCTGGGTCTGTATGCTATACTAAAAGGACGGAGTTAAGGGGAAAAGTTACCACTTACCACTAGCATTCACCACACGCGTTTTCCTTTTGTTAGTGTACAAGATAGTTGGACCTGTTACCTGGAGGAAAGTTCATGTACAAGACACTGATGTATCTACAAAATAAACTCAAGCTGCACTAACCTTAGGTCCAAGACATACACACGAGTGTAAGAATATGGAAATGGATTAAGTAGTAAAGGAAATAAATTTGCCTAGTGAAGACAGAGACACTATGTACTGCAAAAGAAAGCTTTTGTTTTTTTTTTCCCCTCCCAGTAACATCAACAATAGCTCTATTAGAAATTCTATGATTAGGACACAAGCTAGTTTGCCGTAGCAACATCCATGTCCAGTTGAAGAAAAAAAAAAAAAAAAAAAAAAAAGTTTAAAATCTGTACGAATAAAACATCAGAATCTAAACAGCTGATACTAGATACATGTCCAGAGCCACACTTCAGCCTTTTTTAGCAGAAAAGACTGATGAAGCACAGGTAAAAGGCTTCTCTTTGGTCTGTGGACTGCTGATCCTTCCCAAGCAGCTGGCTGATCAGTTTTGCATGAAAAGGATAATTTGAACTTTTTTTTCCCTTCCCTAGACAGCTGTGGCAACTGCCACAGATGACTACAGCAAATGCCCTCATGCTTGCACGGCTGTTAACATTCTGGCAAGCCTACACGCTTATACTTCCTTGTAACTCCTACTCTCTTCCCTTTTGTGCATTACTTTTATGCACAGCTCAGTAACTGGCTATCCATGACTGCACACAGCACCCAATACAAGTCTCTAGAGTAATTGTGATACAATGAAAATAGATTTGGAGAATAAATTTCCAAGTGAAAAGGCTTGTTTCCATTAAAAGTGTAACACTAACTATCAAATGCTTCTTATCAAATCACTGTTAAGATGGTCACTAATTGCTAGACCACGTAAAGATGCTTTTTCTCCTCTCCTGCTTGTGCTTCACCTTTGCATAGCAATCTTTACATCCAGTAGTTCCCAACATTTCCAATCTTATATCTAATAATCACTTTGGCATTTTTAAGTTCATTGCCATTTCATCTCCTCCAAATCAACATTTTTTGTTTAATTGATTTTTTTTCCCCCCTCTTGTGTACTAAGGATCTACATTGAAGTACTCAGTCACCTACAGTACGATTTCAGAGCTGTGACAACAGACTCGGCCACATTTTCTTTTCTTTTCTTTCCACAGAAACAAAGAAATCCATGGAATTCCACTATAGTAGATGGAGAGGAAAAAAAACCCCATAGTCACTGGATAGACTAGCTTATGTCCTACTGTCCTCATGATTGGTACATTAACAACATGCACACACTATAGGCATCAAAGAATTCAGAAGTAACCCAGCCAACTGGATCCCAAATACACAAAACACCCTCCTAGATCCTCTACTACAGATATTGTTCAGCTGAAAGAAAGCCACCAGCTTGAGTCAACTATCATAAAAAGCTTTCCACCCTAGTACAGAGTGGGTGTAGCGTGATCTTGAAACTAATAAATAGTTGGCTACCCACTCTACAGCAAGTGTCTACATTCCAGGCCAAACAAGCTGTCAGACAAGCTAAACACTGTTTCTACCTGATTTTAAAAAAATTTTTTTTCTTAAAAGGGGAAAAGTCTAAAATGAGAGCCTATGCAATTTGTCCACAGATATGGTCATAAAATCTTAAGAACCAGTTGTCATTAAAATAACATGAAAAAGAATAATCAGCACAAAATCAGTTACCAAAAAAATTAAAACAAAGGTGTAGAATGAATACAAGCAGCAAAATACACAGTCTACACATGAACTGACAGGAATTAAGAAAATACTTCTACAGGCTTGTTACTCCACAAGATGTACACTTCAGGGGTTCCTTGCCTTTCTTGCTAAAGCTACTTATCTCCCAATAAAGAACCAAGAAACTCATACTGAGCTAAATGATTTCTTAAATGATAATCCTTAAGTCTTAAGCAAGAACTGCAAACTACAAAAAACAAAAGTGGACTTTCTCTAATGAAAGAAATAAATAGGGGGATAAGCTCATTTCAACCTATTCCTCGAAAACATTTCTGCATTGCATGGGAATCAACAGGGATTCTCAACAGGGATCTTTAGTTTCTCAGGTAAAGCTCTCCAGCTCCATACAGATGTTCAATGTTTCAATATATTGAAGTCACAAAAAAAGATACTGCCACTGGCAGTCAAATATCCCAACTTCTAATGGTCTTCGACATCTGTCACCTTACAGAAAACAGTAATCAGCGGAAAAATCTAACCACATGGTATTGCTTTCTTGCATCTGCACCTCACCCATGTTCAGTCCTTCGCTCACCAGAAGACAGAAGAATGACCCCACAGCATTTGTTGTCCCTTTGAATTTTCTTGGAAGTTCCCAAATAAAAAACAAACAAACTACAAACAAAAACACAAACCAAAAACCACTGAAATTATGTTTAGGTTTTTGCCTTTGTTAAAAGGCAGATTTCCATTAACTAGAGCTTGAGTTTATTTTCCCTTTGTTAAAAGGCAGATTTTTGTTAACTAGGCCTTGAGTTTATTTTATAGTTACACAGTGTCCTGCAGGTACATTGATTTTTTTTTTTTTTTAACCTTTTTAAAGCTGGTAACTCTGCCTCCAGAGAAGAGGTCCACTTGTTAAAGAAAAATGCAGCACTAAGGAAATGGAGTAAACCCACTTTATTCTCAGATTTTTCTGTGTGGAAGATGACTCCTGCTGGTGTTTAATTTTATTAAAGAGGAAAACTACACAAATATGAACTTAAAAGGGACAGTTTCAACACGTTAAAAAATACTTACTCTGTAGATAGTGCAAAACCATCAATACAAGACTATAGCTGCTTAAAGTACCACGACTGGCATCATTTATGTCATGAAAACTCGCCCACTTCTTAACAACAAGTACTAATGGACGAACTCGATTCTCAACTGCAAGTAAAATAAATACATCTCAAAAAAAGCACATTTAACTAGACAGCAACCAATCAACATTTGTTCCTCCTTGATCAACATGATACTCTTGTATTCTAAGGTTACCTTTTGCAACCATTTTATAGAATTTACTTAGTTATTCTACAACTACTATCCATCTTGTAAAAATCAGAAAAAATATTTGCATTTGCAAACAGTCTTTTAAGTAGTAAGATCCACAGACACATTACAAGGGGTATGCCAGGTAACTTGCAGATAAGACAAAACTGGAGGCATCAGTCAACGCAGCAGTGTCACATTCTACTTTTAAGTTCTCTCCAGTTCATTGTAATAATTTTCCCTGAATTAACCTGCTGCCAGGACAGACCACATCTAATTTTTTATTTATTTTTTTTATTTTATATAAACTTTGAGGGCAGAGAAAAGAATTCTCCTGGTTGGAGGACACAGAGCTCATTGTTAAATTTTCCTCAGGATCCATGAAAGCAGTAACCCCTGCATACAAACACTAATTTTAAATTTGCCTTGTCCTAATAGCTTTTGATGGAGATAAGATGTTAGATACAATAACTCATTAAATCAAGACATATGCTTTTCATGAGGAAAGACATAAATACAGTCATATTCCAGGTATGATCTTCTGAATTTCTGGGGAATGTAGATAGCCTTCTAATGAAGGTAGTAATGTGTTGTAGGGAGATGTCACTCACCACCACCTCCTAGGGACCTTGCAGCATACTTATTATTTGCAGATATGTGGAAGCAGATCATCAGCTAAGTCAAATGCCTTATGATGGTCTTACAATGCCTTATATGTTCTGGAGTATCTTTTCTAACCCAACAACATTGTGCAAAGCTTTGTGTTCTGCACATCAGGACAGGAATATATCAATAGGTAATCACTTCATCCAGGACAACAGACATCATACAACAGCACCAGTTGGGGTACTCTCTGTTATTCTGAAAATCCTATCAAGCATGTGACTTTCTCACAACCGGTTCACAGTGGTTCAGCACACAGGTCCCTGTAAGTGGTACTCTTTTTCTCAGCATGAATGTCCTAGATCTGGAAGACCTCTTAGAAACAACAAAGCTGCTTAAAAGCAGTCTCTTCATTCCCAACATTATGCACCAGTGGTTGAACTAAAAAAGTATGTTTAGTACACTAACTGTGAGATGCAGAAGAATTACTGTACGGACATCATATGAACATGCATTAACTGAAATAGGATTTTTCCATGAGAGAAAAATGCAAGTAAGCTAAAATTCCAAAAAGGATTCTTTTGTGTGTGTGTGTCACAGTAGAAAAGACACTTTTTAGTTGACCTTATCCTGAGAGAAGGTTTTCTCTCTGCTAGTGCCTGTAATTAGTATATAAGAAAGTTAGTGTGCAACATGGCCAGTGAACTTACCCTGATACTCTTTCATCAGTCAACAACCTACCCCCTCAAGAAAATGCTCATTTGCTCAAAGGTCCAGCTTCCACTAATTGAAAAATACATACCATCAATTGCTGATTTAATTGCAGACATGCCTCCTTAGGCAAACAACTGACAACACAATAGCATAGATTTCAGTTTCTAGCTCTGCTTCATCTACCTACATTTTCTGTGGACATTCTGCTTCACTTTGCCATATCATCTTTGATGTTTTCTACAGCACCTATGCACCAACATAGAAGGACTGATTTAAAAAAAACCACAAAGGCATCCACAGAAATATTTATGAATATTCTTTTTTATCATGCCCACTAAGATAACCAGTCCCTTGTTTGCCTGAGCATCTAACTTGTTCTAATGGAACAGAGAGACCCATACATCTTCCACATGAGAGGTAATTTGATCTTTTTTTTCCTCCCATGCAGGGTGAAGCCCTTCAGCCACAAATTTAAGTTACCGGGCTAATACTTTTAATGCTATCCACCCTGGTTGATATGCCTTCTAAAAGTATGTAAAGAGACTGTCCGATAAAAGTTTCCATTTACTTTTGTTTGCCTTATGTCATCTGAGAGTTTTCTGGTCCAAAGAAGACAAGACAGACTATGCTTGATGCAGTTTGCCTATTTAAGAAGGTATAGCACATTGAGAAGAATCTTTTCAATCACAAGTCTCCCTTAGCTATTAACTCACTCCTTGACCTGAAAAAAATTACAATATTTGTCCTTCATCAGGAGACATAAAGTTAATTTTGCTGGCCTTATAAAAGTGGGCACCAAGGCAGAATGGAAGAAAAGGTGGGAGACTAGGACCCCTTCCACTGCTCTTTTCACATCTGGACTCTTGTCTGCCCTACAGTGATTTGCTGAGAGGAGTAAGGGAAACCTGTGGCACAAGTTAGGAACAACTATATCAACATTAGACTTGGTGAAGTGACCCCTCACCTGTAGCCATGAATGACAAAGTTTATCTCCCTAACCTTTTTAAGCTTGGAAGGAAATCCTTCTCCAGGCACATGCCTTCCTGGATGTATGAAGTTACAGTTAACCAACTGATGCGGAGCAAGTTGTAGAATCTCCTAGTAACGTGAATATGGAACACTGAAACTACTCTGACTGAAATATTAGTAAAAATTCACTAGTAAAGGTAACTTCTACTGATAACTTCCTATGCTAAATAGAAAGGAATTCCTGTATGCAAGAACTGAAGAAGGTGGGAAAGGAAGAATCGCAAATGGAGTAGAAGAATTAGCGTGAGGTCCACTCCTTATGTATTTATCTGCCAAATGATGCTGTGATGCTAAGTAAGAAAACCCTAGTTTAGCACTAAGCGTGCTGTTCTTACTACTTCCCCTTCAGAAGTCTGTTTCACAATCTCTCCCTAAAATGCAAACTCCTGAGGAGATAGAAACCAGTTTTGTTGTGGGGTTAGTATAAAAACTGAAGCAGTATTTTGGATTTTCCAAGGAAAGACTCTGTAGCAGCATACAGACACAGCTAGCTATCAGCCACACATACCTATCAGTGGCTGTAAGGAAATAAAAGAAACTGGAGATTATACCACTAGATAATCATTAGTATAATGATCTCGTTATCTGCAGAATACTGAAGCAGCCCTTGTAGCAGATATGTGGACCTTAATATGAAGAATCTTCATTATCTTCTGAATATTATAATATTGGATTAAAAACATACCTAGCTGATATATCAGTTTTCTCCATATGTTTAGAGTGAGCAACAAGAAGTTATCTTAAAGCTATCTAATGCAGCTCATTAGGTACTTATATATATAGTAACCTAACATATTCAACTGACTTTTAATAGTCTATAAACACCAAAACACAAATTTAAAAACCAAAGTTTATAGAAATAAGAAAATACATTAAAAACTTACTGTATGCATAGGTTCTCAGAAGGAATGTATTTCTTATTCCTACAACATTGTTTACATTCAAGTCAAACTCCACACAGCTATTGGGGAGGAGAAAAGAAAAAGAATCAAGCTTCATGGTATTCAGTTTCAGGATATGTATTACCTACTTAGTGACAGAGGTGGAGAAACGTAGCTTTCAGATAATACTCTAGAAACTTTCTTCAAACAGAGTTTTGATGCCGTGATTTCTACTCTGGTTTTGTTTATAGTACTTGAATTGCTTGTAGACTTGAATTCCATTGTTTTGGATTGTACATCCAAGTGTACATTACATTTACGTTCCATGTAAAAATGTAATTGTTGTTTTATATAGAGAATACATGTAGATCCAAATTTAGACCTTAGGACAACTTAATATATCTAATACGTTTTGGATTTTTAACGAATCTTTCTCCAAACTAGAGTTGCACTACATGATTTACTATGGACAACTTTTGATGCCAGGAAGGATTCTCTGAGGTATCAGTTTAGGAAATCATGCCAATGAACTGAGAAGGAGAATTGGAAGAGGTCAAAAGGTAAGAATCTCTTTTCTGCAATGATGGTCAGAGATAATCAGCAAGCACTTTGAAATGAAAACTGTTTATTAGTAAACACTGGATGTTTTGTGATAAAACAGTTTTAATAACTGTTTCATGCTGTTAACAGCAAATAAGAACAAGGCAAACAAGCACTACCTATGTTATTTATATCACACCCCGCCCCAAAGTTTGAATTTCATACTGCATATAGAGCTTAACTACTCACAGTACTCAAGAAACGATATTAAATTCATAGTTAATAAGCTATAGCAACACTGTTAACTCACAAGATGAGCCTATTACTGACAAAGAAGTAGCTATCTGCAGTGTACAGCTATTTCCATTTTATACATCCAAGCCTCATTCACATAGCATTTGTTTGCCTGAATATTCCTTTGGATTTTCTTGAATTATTGTAAGGGGAACATGGACCTGGAATTTATTAAACTAGATAAAACACATTAATTTGATGTCTACAAAAGGTTTTTGACATCATTAACTACATTAAAACATCATCAATGCATCAAAAATATTACATAATTTTAAACCTGAGTTAATATCAAGTATGACTTTTTAGATGTTTTAAGAGCATAGTACATAATAGCACAGGAAATAAACAAGCTTGAGCGACTGCTTAATAGTTGTAAAAATAAGCATAAACACCAGTAAGAATATTAGTTGTATGTGTTAATATAATAAAGAAATATGTCAGGCTGCATGTGTAATTCCAATTAACCCCAACTGACAAGATTACTATTTACCAGATGCTGATTAAGCAAGTTCTATTGCAGTTATTTTGTACTTTAATATGCACATATAATAGATGTATGGTAAGTGAAATTATGGTAAGTGAAAAGGGTTTTGTACTGTTGGGACTCAATTTCTACCAAAAGCACTAAAAGAGAGAAAGAGTCAACTGATATCAAATGTAGCAAAAGAGGAAGCTTTTGCATCCTCTGTAGTACAGAAATCTTGTTAATTAATCAAAGGCTTGTCTGGTAGCAGAGCTGGCATTGGAATTATTTCCTGGGAAAGACTACAAAAATAAAAAGATAGTAAGTCTTTAAGTGCAATGGATCTTCCCTTACTGTTACAGCACTAAAAAAACCTTTAAGAAGAACAAACACAAACTGAATGCTTTCTTGTTCTCCAAATCTAAGTAAGTGGGAAATGGCAACTTTCAGGTATATATGGACCATTGGCAACACATTAGAATCCAGATGCAGATACCACCCATTGAATTCTACCGTCTTCTCCCAGCAGCCGGGCATCAAGAAAACTGGCTTTCACAGGAAGCTTGTCATGTTTAGTTTTTTGTTTTGGCTAAAACAAACTTAGTGCCCTGGGTACAGAATATCCAATCCATTTTTCAAGAACTCTGTGAAAAAAATGAATGAGTGTGCATGTATGTATATGTATGAGCCTATGAAAGACAGAGGCCAATAAGAGATTGGAAAGAGACAGGTGCTTAAACAAAAAGACAAAACATGGGTGGAGGTGACAAGTTACATAAGAGAAAAATAACTGGAAAGAGATAAAAACAAACAAACAAACAAACAAAAAACCCATCCCAAAGTCATGTCATTCCCCCCCGCTCCCCTCTTCCAAAAAAACAACACAGGAAACCAGATGGTGAACAGTACTGTTTTTTTCTCTGAAAAATGTAATGGGCAGCTTCTAGTCTAAGAAGATTATACTTTGATTTAGTAGGAAATAAAGAATTCTTTAAATCTTGTCTGTAAGGTATATGAATATCATGACTGGTACTTTTTTTGCAAGTGACCATAGTATGGACTATAAATGCCTACAAAAAGACACCAATCTTCTGACATAATCACTTCCATACTTAAGGTTACTTTTTAAAGTTTATTTTCTGATTTTAAATTGGAAAAAAATATTCTTGCTATAACTCCATGATATTCAATATTTGTACTAGGAATTTACCATTTAGTGTATCTATGAAAAGACTAGCATTGTTATATGTAGCTAAACCATTTAACCCAAATTTTAGCTTGACAAGTTCAATACTTTCAGAAAGCATGGGAGAAACAACCTTCTGTACTGTCACAGGAGAAAGTTACTAGATAAAAATTATTCAAAATTTTAAAAGGTAGGCAAGTATACAGAAGTAAATATGGGATTAGGTGTAAATGAAAAAAAGTATAAAGCAAAAACCCTAACAAGTGTTACATAATCTCAGATGCAAGAAAAGCTTAAATGGATGATATTTATTAGTTCAAATTGTAAACATGACAGATTCAGTTTTATCACAAGAGGGTTTCTGCCCTGATAAAGGTATGTTGTGATAAAAGCACATTGTGATATGCTCTTATAAAGAGAGGCCAGAGAAGTGGGCTTGTTTGTTTTTAAAAGACAGGGACAGGGTTGCAAAATTTTAGAAGCGTATAGGCAGGATAAGATAGTTAGATACAAGAGAGTTGTTCAAAGTCCTATTTACAAAGAATAGTCAAGCTATGTTATTACATGAAGGTGATCCACATAAGTCTTACAAAATCTAAGCCCATAAGTATAGGAAGATTTGAACATTACTCAGACTCCCAACCAATCTGAGTGCTTTGCACAGGTTTTTTTTATCACACACAATAAGAAATACATTGTTCTCTGTCCTAGTACATCCCGTTTGATTATTCATTTTCATGTCTTCATAATGAAGATACAATGAATACAACAACATACAACACATCCACTTCTCCCCAATTACTTCCCCCTTCTAAAAAAAAAGTCATAAAATTAGTACCTAACGCTGTGAATAGAACACGTAATACTACTTTGTTAAACACAGAATACGTCCCTAGAAGACAGCAAAATATACTCTTCTAAAATGGACAAAAATTTTTTAATCAAGAAAACATCATCACAAGAAACCGAAGTTTTAGTGTTATTTGTATAGTGTAAATGCTGTGAATTAGTCCTTAAGTAGCTCAACAGTTATGTTTGCACAGCAAGCAAAATTGTCTTTCACAATAGTTTTCTTCCCACCATTGTTTTTCTGTCATGAACCACTTGTCAACTGGAGTCCACTATGTACAAATAACCCATAGAAATACATTATGTACTGCTACTAATTCACATCACAGAAACTAAACAGCACCTCAACCACAAGAGGTGTTTCAGGCCATCAAGGAAGTAAGCTGACTTGCCACTGCACGCTAGCTGTACAAATTTGCAATACAACTATAGTATGACACAAATAAACAAAGCATGACTTCAGTGGGACTACTCATATGGACAGTACATACATACAGTACTTAACCATGTCAGAGTCTAAAAAACAATGTTGAACACAATACTTGCCTGACTTTATCCCTGAACTTCACTATCGGCACTTTTGCTCGAATCAGCTGAGGTCGCTCAATGTAGCTTGCTAAAAGGGAGAAAAATATGCAATTAAGTTTCATGTAAGATACTGATCTTAAAATAAGACCCTAAAGTGGAGTCATATTGACTGATTTATAGCAAATAGTAGCTTATTAAATTTAGCAAAAATATTCTCAGAAGGGTTGTGCTAAACTAAGGAACCTTTAGCAACTGCAGCAAAAATACAATCTAGGAAAGTGTGTGGGAAAAAAATGCACTAAACATTAGAGAAACACATTAGTGGAAGATTTTTCTGTGGGAAGTATATTCAAGAAATTTGAACATAAGGAATGCAGTTCTAAAATGCTTTCACTGAGCAGTACTTGTAATAGAAATCCTGAATAGATGTAATTAAGGTTCAAAAAGAAGGTAGCAAGAACATATCCATCCAGGATGGCCAGACACTTAAGCCCAGCACTACATTGTAGCAACAGGCACATGATCAGCTGCATACTTTTTAATCGTGTCTAGTTGTCTACAGTTGAAATTACGCATTTCACTGATCAAAAAATATTAACATAACTGTATCTTCACTATGCACTGATTATGCTTAAAACGTCCTTTAAAAACTGTTTATTCGACTGATAAAGTACATACCAAGAAATACATTTCCTATCAAATTGTTACTGAAAACAGGACACCACTTTCCATCAAAGATGGGATAAGCGTTATTTGCCTTTTGCTTTAATGGTGGTAGGACATGCAATAAATACACAATCACAGGACTGCACCTCAGATGATTAGCCACACAGTACAGACACACAGGCTCAATGCCAGACTATCCAAATCCAAACATACTAAGCTCTGCCAGACTCATACAGCGCCACCAGATGCACCTTTGCACTCAGCTCCCCAAAACTGTTGGGTCAGTCATGTTATCTGTGATTTCCCTATTCTCGACGATATCTCAGGCTATATTTAGTAGTTGCCCATAATCCTGAAGGAGAAATGCACCCAAGAAAGTAATGGAAAAGACAAAGAAAAGCAGAGCCCATAGGTTACATGGTATGAATTTGGGCAAAAAGCACTATTTTAGTAACTTCTTCTGTTGCAAAATCTAGGACCACTTGAACTTGCCCACATGTAACATCATACATTTTCCCCTTGCTTCTATAAATTAACCTCAAATTAGCATAAGTAAGTATGACAAAGCTAGAAGTAATACAGGCTAAAAAAAACCTTAAATAAAAGCTGATCTACTCTTTCTGGGGGAGGAAAAAAAAAAAAAAAGAGGTATTTCTATCAGTTTGGATAGCAACCTTGATTAAACAGTGTCATCTCCATTGCATTCAGATGACAACTTCAGGTTTGGTAAAACCCTACTGTGCAATATTCAATTAAAACAAATTTTACCTTTTTTTTTTTTTTTTGAGACTTTCTGAAAGTGTTTTATGGATACGCACATTTAGATAGATTTGATCTCAGGTAATCCTTTATCTGGATTTGAATGCATTGTATGATCCTAAGCAACACACAGACTAGCACTCAAAAAAAGAGATAATCTTATTAACTTACTAATTTTAAAGGAAGAATCTTACAGAACTCCAATCCACGTTCACTGAACATACAATCTAGTACAACTTACACAAGCATCCCCTCTTTCTAGCTGCATCTACAGACACATCCAAGCATCACTCCTCCAACATCCCAGAACATTCTGAAAGTGAAGCTATAAAGTGTGTAGAGCTCTCTGCCTTCTTTCACCACCAAATTTAAGACAAAGATGCCCAACGCACCAGCACATGGTAGACAATGGTGGGTATCTATCTTCATGCCACAGCAATTCAACTTTCCACTATGACCTTCCTCAGGACATCCAAGCATCACTCCTCCAACATCCCAGAACATTCTGAAAGCGAAGCTATAAAGTGTGTAGAGCTCTCTGCCTTCTTTCCTTTCACCACTAAATTTAAGACAAAGATGCCCAACGCATTAGCACATGGTAGACAATGGTGGGTATCTATCTTCATGCCACAGCAATTCAACTTTCCACTATGACCTTCCTCAGGTGCCCTTCAGAAGTTAACTGAACTTATTCTAGTGGCAATCCACTTGCAAACACATCCTTGACTGCAAATGCCTCCCATGGATGGATGGGATGGATGCTTGTGCCAAATTAGTTGTCTAAGAAAAAAAAAAAAAAATCCCAGAACATAATCCCAATCTGTTTCCCAGGGTGAAACAAAGCAAAAAGGATGTTAGCAGGCAGTTAACTTGCTGCTGGTACCCTCTTTCTTGGCTCACACCGATCACACTGTTAGCAGAATCTCTATTGTACGTTAGATTGTCATACATACAAGGAAAGAAACAGTCAGAAACACAGGATGTGGAATTCTGAAATACATACAGGTTGAGTAAGTGCCTTAGTAAACTGACTATCTGACCTTGAAGCTATGACCAGAGGGGCTACCTCAAAATACACATAATGAATTCCACATTCAACTCCTCCACAGTTTTGGGCATATCTATGAAAAAGTCACAAATGCCACTTCAGCTGTAGTGGAAAAGAACATAACCACTTCAAAGAAGACTAAGCAGTTTCATAAATAACTTACTCATGCAGAATTTCAGATTAAACAGCTTAAGTCTCTCTTTTCTTTTACAGAATAAAAGATTAAGCAATTGTAGAAAATATTAATCCCAAACATGGTATATGCCAAAAAAATCTTTGGCATCCTGCACGTGTAGCCTGCTCTCATTGATAGGGTTATACTACAGAAAGAAAAACTGGGCGACACAGCAGTCTGAATCCAGAGTCACGAAGAATCTAGGAGGGTACAACCCAGCACAGGATGAATTAATTGTTGATGTTTGGAATTCACTCACCCACCTACACAGTCCTTCAAGGTCATTCATATGAGTTCAAGTTCCCTTGCTTGTCCTAGCTGTTGCACGTTCCCCACTAGACAACCGTTAGGCATATTCCACTCTGATATCCTAGTCTCAACACTACTGCACCTCTATGTATAACTAAGAGAAAACGAGCTCTTTGTTATTTATTTAGATAATAAACACCAGTCAACCCAGTACTGCTAAACTGTTTTTCAAATGAATCCTGCCTAGACGAATCTGAAGAGAGTAATCAGTTTGACGTTTACTCTCAGTGGTTTGGATTATACTCTCTTCAATATGTTGTAACAGTTATCACCCTAAATTCGTTTCACATTTCTAAAAGACATTGGCTTGAGCATACAGGTCTGGGAATGTTAGCCAATATTGTAAAAAATAGGTATGTGCAGGTATCTGAACAAATAAGTGAAAAAGTTACACATACTCTGCTAGTCTTTGAAACAGAAGATATATTATTGCTAACCTTACATCTCTCTACTCTAGAAGAAACACAATACATGCCTTTAAGACTAACATGTCCCACAAAAACAGTGAATAAATATCAGAAGCTTTTTCCTACTTTACTCTGTGACTAGACTATTCAAAAAAAGAACACATCTTCATTTCAGTCGGTATTCTAGATGCAGAATGACAACACAGAAAAGCCTGTGCTCTAAGACTTTAAATCTGATGGGCTCAAATTCCTTGCTCACACTTGTTACCTTTTGCAAGCCTGAAACTGAAATAAGCTGGAGTTTAGATAAATTTTGAATCCACTTCCCAAACCTTCTAGAATGAAACACTAATCTAACAATCACAGTTAACTGTATATAAAGAATAAAAGAGATGGCACTTAAAGTTCTGAAGATGATTTACCTAAAAGAAATTGTGAAAGACACTGATCTAATCTGCACTTGGAATGCTTCCTAATTTATCAATCAATCATGGAATTAAGGTGAAATAAGCAGAGAATCACACTGTTTTTATAGCCCTGATTTTGGAACATACAGGAACACCACAGAGTGCAAGAACAAAGAGGAAGATCTTAGGAGAGTGTCGTTTAACCCCAGTCGGCAACTAAGCACCACACAGCCGCTTGCTTACCCTCCTCCTCCCCCCCCGGTGGGATGTGGGAGAGAATTGGAAGAGCAAAAGCAAGAAAATTCGTGGGTTGAGAGAAGAACAGAGAAGCACAGCTAGAAAAAACTTGTCCCAACTTTCTGAACTGAAATGATCTGAAAAAAGGTTAAAAAAGTTCTAGAACATTACCTATTCCACAAATCTCCTCCTTATTTCTTTTTGTCCTTTAGCTCTTTCACAAAACCAGCCTGAGAACTTCGTTTTAAATAACATCTTATCTTTCCTCCCCCTTCTTGTTTCTCTTACATCTTGGCACATACTTCATTAGCTTTCATGTTTGGCCCAAACTATGTTTATTTCTGTTCTCTTGTGTGAAGCAAGGAATAAGTTTAATGACAGCTCACACACTTGTTGAGAACATGCTGCAGTCTTTCTTCTACAGAAGAAAGAAGGAAGGAAATACTTAACTAGTGTTGTCAAAGAGCAATTACCTTAAGATTACAGATTAGCATCATACGCATTAACTGGACAACACAAAACTTAAAAATAATGATCAGAAGAAGGTTCATACCTTTTAGGCTGTTAAAAAGCACATGCAGTAAAATACAGGATACTGTTGGAATGAAATTGCAATTCTTAAAGAAGGTTGGTACAGACAAGTCTTATACTTGCTCATACACAGCAGCAGCATACGTGCACTGCTAACCCTTTAAAAAGTTGCAAATCTAGAATTCTGGTTCAAGTTGAAGTAACATCTCAAAAGAATTACAATTTCTGTAGGCTTTTTATTTAAATGTATGTACTTGTAGATCCCATCCTTGATGGTTAAGCGGCAGCTGACTTCTGAAGACAGTAGAAGGTAGGAAACCACTTAGAAAACTGCAGTTCTATTAAAAAAGAACTTAGCAGCCAATCTGAAGCTGACAATGAACAGTCATTTCTAAGCATGTAAACTTGACTCCACAAACCAGCAGGAGTGCCAACAGGACACCACTGAAGCGCATACTGCTAAGATCGTTTCCCCAGAGGCAAAGAAAAAGCATATGAATCTATTAGCTTCTGAAGTCTAGCCTGGGGGGACTCCCTCCCCACCCCCAAGCAAAACGAACCCAGAAGCTACTTTGAAATTATGGACGACAGCAATTATATTTGCCTAAATAAGCTTTAATCAAAATAACTGGGCGACCCCCTTGTTTCAGAAGTACTGAACCTTAGCAGAGTTGAGCTACAATTGGTAAATGAACTAAATCCAAATGGAAAGACCCATATGGCAAAGCCTTTTAATTTTGAATCAGTGAACATTTTCGAACAACTTTTGTCTATCAGTTCTATCCACAGAACATCCATACACAGGCACAAGGACAGATGGCTAGGTGTAGGAATTCAGGCCCATAGTGATGTTAAGATTATGAAGAGATGATCTAAGAGGTCTACATACCACAACTAAGAGAGTCTGACAGGAGCAGTAGTATCAGCCGTGTTTTGTCCTGCCTCACCTTCCAAAGAACATTTTGATTAAATGAAGCTGACCAAAGGCATTTGCAAGATAACAGAGAATTAGGAAAGCATCAAAAAGGAGCAATGGCACAAAGAAAAACCTTCAGGGATCGCTCCCACATGACCATCATGTCTTTCTGATACTCATATTCCCTGGCAAACAAACTTGATTTTGTCTAAAGCTCTGTCACAGAACACAACCTCTTCAAAAAAGAAGAGGGTGATAGCTTATTTAGATGCTGCCTTTCTGATCCCTGAAAACACAACTGTTTTATCACTGTGCATCTCAGAAAGCACTGGAACGACTTGCATCCTAGGCAAACCCAGACTAAGTTCTGGACTCCTTATGCAATCATCAATATACAGTAGTAATAAGCCATTAAATATCAGATGCCTACTCTGTGATGGATCTATCAAGTCTGTCTTCAAGCAAGCTCTTGAAATCTGGGTATGCACACTTGCCAATGAAGAAATTTTGAAGTCTGCATTTAAACTTATGGTTTGTTCCTTTTACCATTGCAGGATTGTTCAGAACAGCAATATAAGGAGCAACATCAAAGAATGTATCACAAGTCTGAGAGGTAGGGGGACAGAGTCATTGATACCAATAAATGACAGGGTCTTTCATAATTCAAAGCATGGTACAAAAGCCTCTTTGAAGTAGGAGGCTTTCACATTTAAGTCAAGAACTGCCCATGTGAATTCTTCATCTGAAGAGAGTCTAAGCAACAACTTATAAGAACTATGAATTGACCTGTTTCTCCTATATGTGCTGGTACTGTCAACATTTAATATTTTCTTCACTAAGCACCTAAGTTAATTATTTCACTGGTATCAAGGTGTCGTCCCCCCCCCCAGATAAATTCTACACTGTCTACTGTGAGTGACATCTTCTTTTACAAATTCTTAGAGTATTGTCCGCAGGAAGGCACTGCAATCTAAAAGAGTAGGAAGAGTTCACTAACAGAGGTTTCCCAAACAGAAATCAACTTCCACTCCACCACCCCAAATTGTGGTTCACAATTCAAAAGTCATTTTAGATGCTACCCGTTCCTGAAGTCCACTAGTTTGCAAGGCAACCATTATGTTTTTCTAATTACTATCCATCAGCACCAAGATAAGTAACATTACTAAATATTTATAGCTTTTCTCCAAACAATACTGTGATTAGAAGCTAGACAAGATGCAATTACATAAATTAGTCACAACTGTGCATCAATAGTTCTTCCAGAATTGCCAATAATCTTACCACCTCACTGTAGCCAGGAACTTACAAAGTTTAGTACTGAAGAGTTTTTGGACTAAGCTGAGTATATGCCTTGCTTCAGTCTTCTGATTTACCTGAAATACGATATTAAAGAAAAAAGTTGGTATCTCTCATTTAGATGTTCCAAGTAAGCATGCTTTAGCTTTACTTTTCAAATAAAATCTATTCTCAGAATAAGACATGAACATGTATACCAACACATTCCACAGCCTACACATACATTTAGTGCAGCAAAAGCCAGACAGAACAATTCATATTCAGTACACAAAGTAACTATCAGACATTCACAGATCATAGAACCTGATGAAAACCTATCCCCACTTATACAAAAATGTCCTTTCCTTCCTTTTCAATGATGCTTCAATTCTTTTAAAATTATGCTCTATTTAGATTTCTTTTTTGTTATGTATTTTCTCTCAACCTAAATTTTCTCTCACCAAAAATACTTAAGAAATTTTGCATGTCAAATTCCTTCTTATGCCTGCTCACTAAAATTAGTGGCTATGAATCTAAATAACGAAATAAAAAAAATTGTACTTCTTTTAAAAGTTGTTCCTGCATCTAAAATGAGTTAGAGTTCTCTAAACAATTTTCTTCATGATTCTAGGCAATTTACTTCGCTGCTTTGCTGTGCTTTTTTCATTTATGGAGTGAAGGTAATGCTTATTTTTTTAATGTTTTCTTGGTTTAAAGGGTTTATAGGGTTAAATTCGTATTTTCAACATTATTGGGCCCACAGTTCATAGCTATTTTGAGTGCAAAAGTATGTTATTAAATCAAAAGGATTTGACCATTTGTTTCTCATTTCAGAATCCAGCCTTATAAAATCACATACGTTTTAAAAACAGACTTTGTTTTAACTATATACGTTTTAAATTACTTACTGGTTCTTCTTTAACCACCAGGCACAAGTCACCATCACTGCTACGAGTGCCAAACCCATTCAGCGAGGACCCAACCAAAAAGAGCCTGCTCTCTGTAATAGAAGAATCACAGAATAAAAACTGATGTGACATATCATAGTTTACGAGGAAGGAAGAACCGCGAACCTGAAGAACATTCAAACTGATATTAAGTAATCAAATTCAAAACATACGTGGAAAAATTCGCTGAATTTCTCTCTGGAGTTCTGTTCTGCAGAGCTCTTTTCTGTTCAAATCATAGGTCTGTTGCTGACATGCTTGAAACAACTCCAAAACCTGCTGACTTAACTTGACAAACACATTCAAAAAGTAAAGATACAGAGAATTGAGCTTTCTTTCCTGCCAGAGATGCAATTACATGAAACACAGAAGATGGCATTAAAAAAAAAAATCCAGCATCATTTCATGCAACCTATTGCATTGTCTAGAGTTTTACCGTACTGGAATTCATACTGAACTTCACAGAAGAAATTTCTGCAAAGTTTTTAAATTTAAATTTGTTCCATCTATTATAAAATGTCTATCCATAGAAAATAATTTTTGCCTCTGTTGTGGTTTAACCCAGCAGGCAGCTAAACACCACACAGCCGTTTGCTCACTCCCCCTCCCCAGCGGGATGGGGGAGAGAGTCAGGGAGAAAAAAAGTAAAATCTGTGGGTTGAGATAAAGACAGCTTAATAGGACAGAAAAGGAAGGGGAAAAACAATAATAATAATAAAAGAATATACTAAATAAGTGATGCACAATGCAATTGCTCACCACCTGCCAGCCAATGCCCAGCCTGTCGCACAGCGGCGGCGCCCAGCCAGCTTTCCCCGAGTTTATATACTGAGTTCATTAATCTAGGTGATTCTTGCTGTAATACTGTTGATACGGCATATAGCCACCATAGAAGTGATGATATACAGCATTATATAGCAATTAACATCATACAGTTTAATTTATTGGCTATTCTCACCCAAAATCAAATCCCCTTGAGGTACACATTGGACTTCCCCAGCCTCTCACATCACCCACCAAGTGCACCCACAATGCAGCAGCCCAGATGGGTTTGCCTCTGCGCTGCCAGTTCTGGCTCTGCTTCCATTGCTGCAACTACCCCCACAGGGCATTTGCCACCATCCATGAGTCAGTACAGAGATAGAGCACTGGCCACTTTTCTCGGTCAGCAATGTCTAAAGCCAGCTGGATGGCCTTTACTTCTGCAAATTGGCTCGATTCACCTTCTCCTTCAGCAGTTTCTAC